TCCCTTGTTGAGCCAAGCAGTTGCGGAATGCTTTGCTCGTGAATTTGCCGCCTCCGTCGGAGCGGAAGTTCTGAATTCGAGCACCAAATTTATTATTAATAAGATTGCAATATTGTTGGAATTTACCAAGCACTTCATCTTTGGAATTAAGCAAGTATAGCCTTGTAAACCTAGTACAATCGTCTATAAACGTAACATAGTAGCGGTAAACATATTTGGAAAGAATTGGAGCCATGCCCCAAACGTCCGAGTGGACGATTTGGAACGGCTTATTACAGATTGAATTTCTACGATAAAAGGGCTGTTTATGGCTCTTAGAAGTGTTACAAGAAATGCATATAGTATTAGAAGACGAGTTTGCTCGTTCTGGAATGTTTTTGGCGAGAGTGATGATCTTGCGGTTGTGTGGGTGTCCAAGACGATCGTGCCAGAGGTTCTTGTTTGGCGGAGGTGTCGCTAGAGCAACGTCGTTACCCTTGGTAGGAAGCTTAATGTGGTACAGACCATTGCGTTTGGGACCTCGGAGAAGCACCTGGTTGCCCTGAAGGTTCTTTATAACAAATTCATTAGTCGTGAAAGAAATCGAAACATTATTATCGGAGGTTAGATTATATACGGATAAAAGATTATACGTTAGACGCGGGACGTGTAAGATTTTTCATAGGCAAAGCTTACGAGTTGTCTCGGGTAGAGGCAGGATGCCTTGGCCCGAGTTTTGGATGGAAAGGTTGCTACCGTTTGCAATTGAGGCGGAGTCGTAGTCGTTGTAGGGAACTGAATATTGAAGATGCGTTGCATCCGTGGTCAGATGGGAGGAGGCACCGGAGTCCAAGATCCAGTCGTTCGGTGTGACTTGTTGTTGTTGTGCCTTGAGAGATCTTGAATTTGTTGGTGGGGCATATTTGAGATTGCATATGTGCCAGTAGTTTAGAGCTACGTGACCGGACTTGCCACAGATCTGACATGTTGGGCGCTGGGACGAAGGTCGTGCGGACGATTGTGAGTCGACTTGAGTCGTCAAGCGATCATTATTCTGCTGCCTTTGAAACGGCCCTCAACCACGTGGCTTTTTCCCGCGGTAGCTGCGATTTGAAAAGAACGCCACGGAGTCAGAATTTTGAGAATCTTTGAGGTTTTGTTGATGAAGATTTATCTCTTCACTACAGAGTAGTGAATTAAGATCATCAAGATGTATAGGTTGGAGAGATGTCCTTATGGTTGTTTTGAATGAATTGTATGCAGTGGGCAGCCCATTGAGAATGTAGAGTATAATGTCTTCCGAGTCGGCGGTGGATCCGGCGACCGCGATGTTGTCGACGATCGTCTTGATTTGATCGAGGTATTATTGCATGGTACGGTATCGCATCTGAATTTGATGTAACTCGTTCTTGAGCTGAATTACATGAGAGCGATTTGTGGGTTGAAGGTGACGTTCGAGAGCAATCCAGACGTCATGGGTGGAGCGAAGATTGATCACGTACGGGAGTATTGATGTGGATTTGGTGGCCAGCAGAGTGGAGACAAGATTCCAGTCTATGAGTTTCCAGCGATTTAGTTCTTGAATGGCCGAGTCCGGTGGGCAGACGGCGAGACCGGTGAGATGCTCTTCGTAGCCGTTAGCTGAGAAATGCCGATGAAGTTGCAAACGCCATACTGCGTAGTTTTCAGAGGTGAGAGGGTTGGGTACCATGTTCTTGACATTGGATATCAAGAATTTAAGATGAGGAGGGATGAGAAGGTATGAATCTTGATTGGAGATGATAGAGGAGATTCTACCCTCCGCTCCAGTCCGGCGAGATCCGGCCATGTCTTCTTCTGCCATGACGGATCAGAGAATAGAGAGAGAGAAAAAAAAAAACAAGAGCTGTGGAGCTTTGCAGCTCTGATACCATGTGGAAACACAGGCACGGTAGAAGCTGGGAGAGAATAGCCGAGACGGATGAACAGATGAATAGAGGAGAAGGAAAATATGAGAAGTATATTTCATATCATGATTACAAGCCTATGAGTCTTTATATAGACCAGGTACAGTAAATGAAAAGCAAGAAAGTACAAATTGCTGACATGGCAGGTTCTTTAAACAGGTGAGCTGTCATTGGTTCTTAACATATTTTACAATAAATATGAATTCAAGATGCAATGCTACACACTAAAGTTTGTATATATATAGATCACTAGCATATTTCGTTGAGTTTTGTTTCCTTTTGTCTTTAGTTTTTCTTTTGTAGTTAGGAGTATATAGACCTACAATGTAATTGTGTAACTCCTAACTATTCTATATAATTTTTGGAGTATATATATATATTGATGCTTTGATCAATAAAATTATTTTTTGTTACTACTTGCTAGTTTATTATTGATAAAAGAATTTTAGATAACTCTGATGGTCATTATTGTTATCATTAAAAAAATAATTTTTTAAAACTTGATTTTGAGGCATGACACTTAAATACTAAATGAATGGTCTTAGATATAGGAGATCAATAAGGGCCATCAAATGGAGTGTTTCATATTTTGACTGCATATATGAGATATGCCATTTTAAAATATATATAAATATGCACACACTCTTTACATGAGGGGGGGTTAGACTTTGTTTTAAGATTCAATAGAGCTCAAATGCTTAAAAAATAAAAAAGCTCAACTTGAACACCACTGCAGGGCCATCACCCAACCATAACCGTGGGACTATCGCCATTCAACGGCTATTTGATTGCACATCTAATTATCACATGATCACCATTGTTATATGGTTATGCCATTATCGTCAACATGTCATCGTTAAACTATCACCCAATCGCCAATATCACCATCCATTTATAATAGCTCAACTAGGATCATCTTACTATTGTTGTTTTACTATAATCATTTGATTAACATTATGGCTCTCTAACTACCATCGACCGACTTATATCCTCCAACAACCATTGCCAAACTATGACCCTTTGACTACTATCATCTGATTACAGTCATATGACAATGTAAACTATCATCATCGAACTACAATCCTTCAATCATCATTGTCCTACTATATTCTTTTGACTATCATCTCCTAATTATAGTTTTGCAGCCATTTTAACGGATAAAAATCCACAATTTCACTCTTTTTGGGGCTTTAACATAAAAATCAGGTACATCTTATAACTTTGCCTTATAAATTTATATCGCATTCATCACTATCCCTCGCAGTTGTCAGTTGCATGTCACTTCCCCTCGATTGTTGCCAGTCGCCCTCGCCCACTGCTACCTGCTTCCGACCCCCTATCGCAACCAACCACGTAACCACTACAACAACCGTTGGCCACCCTCCCATTGCAATCACCGTTGACAACCACACAGATGACCATTTCACATAGCTTAGCGCCGTTGCTCCCCCATCACCACGTGCCACCGACCACTATCATCATTGAAATTTACACTACATTTTTGTTTCTTCAAACCAAAATAAAAAAAATAATCAACCACATTTTCTTCAAACCAAAATTACATGTGGATGCCGAATTGCCCGGAGGCTAATCGGGAGCTGCCACGTCACACAATGCACTGTGCATTAGATGACGTGGTGGCTCTTGATTGGCATCTGGATACGTTCAGCATCCGCACGGACCGCACACAATGATTTTTTCAAAGAATTTGGAGCGTTTGGCAAAGGATATCTGCTTCACTTTGTCCGAATTTACCTTTTTTATTTATTTTCTTTTTCTCCGAAGAACCCTCTTCTTTCTTTCGCTTCCGTTTAAGGTCAATGATAATATCATCTCTTTATATATTAGCTTTATCATGTGAAATGATGGCTTTATTTTTATCATTTGGAATGATCACTTTATTTTTCAATTGCAGGAATTGAAGATCTTTGACTAAAGAAGAGGCAGCGAATAAGGAATCACATCGTTCAAAATGAATGGTCCCTTACAAAGTTGTGGACTTTGGAACTATTGTTTAGGACAAAAAGACATTGTTGGAGTATTAAGGGCTGTTTCGTTGCCCGAGAAAAAAAAAAAGGTAGTGCAAAAAGAAGAGGCAACGAATAAGGAATGATCGCATCGTTCAAAATGAATGGTCCCTTACAAAGTTGTGGACTTTGGAACTATTGTTTAGGACAAAAAGACATTGTTGGAGTATTAAGGGCTGTTTCGTTGCCCGAGAAAAAAAAATGTAGTGCAAAAAAAAAAATAATTTTAAAATTGTTTGCACGAGTAAAAAAAAAGTATGAAATTATTATTATTTTTTGTTTGAAGTTAGATAAATATAATGTAAAGTACAAAAAGTAGCAATCGCGGCCGACATTGACTGCGATGAGGCCGGTGTGGGCGGACGACGGGCGGCGGTCGACAGCGGTGGTGAACGACGGTGGGTGTCCAACAATAATGGTGGTCGACAGTGAACGACGTGGTGGTTGCTGGGGGGTAACAGTGGGCGGACTTGCAATGTCCGACAGCTACTTAGTAGTTACTATGAGTTTGTTAAGTCAACACCCATCGTTAATTACAAATATAAGGTATGTCCAAAATTAACACCAAGATTAATGCTCATCTTCTTGATCACTTTGGTCTGTTAGTGGGGAGCTTAGGCTACCAACTAAGAGATCATGTGTTCAAGTCATGTGTATGCGATATGTATATGAGTCTATCTCAATTGACCTAAATGTTCAAAAAAAAAAATCCTATATAATATAATATCAGAACCATTAAAATCTTAAATGTGTAGAATTTCAATTTTTTGTCATTTATCATTTGTAATAAAAAATATTATATCTCAGATATGAATTTATTTATCTGTATTTATCGACATATAATGAAAAAAATAATAAAATTATAACATGATAAATGCACTCTCTATGCTCTTTTATTAATTATTTTTAAAGATAATTAAATCTCAGCCGTCCATTTTCAAGACTTAAAATGAATAAATAAAAATTGAAAATGAATAAAAGAGCAATTAAAAACATTACTTCCGCTTTTGCCCTCTTCCTTGCTGGTTGGCAGCTTTGCCTACACAAGGACCTCACCCACCTTTGACGAGATAAAGTACCCACTCCAGAGTCATTTTTCTTCCCAAACGCTCGCATTCCTGTGATTCTACATCTCTAATCCCTTCTCCTTCCTCCGCCCATCAATCTCCTTTGATCCGTCAGCGAGGATGAAGGCCTCGCTGAAGGCACACTTTGAGCCGGAGCGAAGCTCAGCCATTGCCACCCTCTTCCTCCCCGCCGGCGATGCACGTATTAAAGCCTCCATCACCGAGGCAACTTTCTCCAAAGGCCCTTCCCTCAACAGCCTCTTGCTATCCCTCGAAAAGCCCGGTTCCTTCATCATCGACTACAATGTTCCAAACCAGGTACGAATACCTGCCCTTGAAATATCGGGTTTCTTGTTGATGAGATGGGATCCGGTCCTCGCAGGACTTTAGGTTTCAGTTCATGAACACGGTGCGATTGGCGGAAAAGCCTGTGAGCTTGACCTACACGCATATGCTCGGGGCTCGCCAGACGGCGATTGACGGTTCGCTGCAGATCGATCCGGCAAATAAACTGTCGGTAAATTACAGCTTTGGTTCGGGAAACTGCAAGGTGAAGTACGCTTACGCGCATGGTGAGTTTGGGAGAATTCTGGTGGAACCGGTGTATGATCTGTCAAAGAATACTTGGGATTTTGCCGTGTCGAAGAAGTACGATGGGGGTGATTCGCTGAAGGCGAATTATCAGACCTCGAGTAAGGTGCTTGGGTTGGAGTGGAATAGGGATTCAAAGACCAATGGGTGTTTCAAGGTATGCTGCATCTCCATTCTTCACGGGCTTAGGGAAGAGTTGGCAGTATTACTTAACATTTGATTTCTGAGCTTCATTACAGGAGCTTGAGTTGGGTACGTGACTATTTGGTTAAACAGACTCGTTGCCCTCACAATTTTGATTATAATATAGAAAAGTGATGCATGATACAATAAACTACTAGATTAATCTTATCAATCAGATATTCACAGCTATCATCTGTAATTACAATATTTTCGAGCTTTATATAGCATAATAACTGTGGTAGCTAATATTTGGCCAATATCTCCCCTCAAATTGATAGTGGTCTGTCAATAATCATAACTTTGCCCACAGATTGTCTCCAGAGAGAATTTGGGGGAAGAACTGATTTTGGAGCAGGACAATCTAGGTAGCTTGAAGGATAGAGGACTATAGGATAGATAACATGCAGTGAAAGATCGACAAATAGAGTTGTTGGTGGTAGTCAGAGGGAGTCTGTTGCATTAGTATTAGTAGTATTAGAAGAAAAACAAAATAACTCTTAGTACCACATCATCTGTACCGTTTACCTTGCTTAAGCTGTGTAATAGAATCTATATATAGGATGTAATAATACGTAACAGAGAATGAGATAGTTCTATTTTCTTCCTTATGTTATCTCTCTCTAGACTTCTCTGTTTCCTCTGTTTCTACATGGTATCAGACAAGGCAAGATTCTGATGTTTCTTCCTCCATGGCCTCATCCTCCTCCGCGGCCTCCTCACAATCCACGAATCTGTCGGAAAGAGCGACGAACGTCGCCGGAATACCGGCCAACCTCAAATTCGTCATCTCTAATCTGAGAACTCTGGTTCCGACACAGCTTTCTACCGACAATTATGTCATCTGGAGAAGTCAGATCGTGAAGCTTCTCCGGGCAAATGGGTTTGAGCATTTTCTTGTATCCTCCGATCACGATCTTGATCGGCAAGAACCTACATCCGAGCCCGACAATACATCAAATGGCGACGCCACTGTCTGGTCATTAACAGATCAGAATCTCTCGGCGGCCATATGCTCTACCATCTCTTCTACCGTTCTTCCATATGTATTGCACCTGGAATCAACAGCTGCTGTATGTAAGGCACTTGAGATGAGGTTTCAGTCCTCGAATCGATCGAAGGTCATACAGCTCAAAAACGAGCTACACAATATACAAATGAACGAGCAATCCATGCTCTAGTACCTGACAACCATCAAGAAATTGGTGGATCAGATAGCTGCCGCCGGAGCTAAGATTGAAAACGAAGATATAATAATGTACATCTTGAATGGTCTGGCTCCCGCCTATCAGGCATTCAAAACAACAATTCACACGATGCAAACATCCTTAAGTCTTGATAATTTCTATTCACTTCTTATAAGTGAAGAAATTCATGTCAAAAACGATGCCACCAAAACATATTCTCAACCGGATCCTCAAACAGCGCTCTACGCTAACAGAGAAGACCGAAAAGAAATCGTGGAAGATCTTCCTCTACAAATTAATACAACAACCGGGACACTTCAAAACCTGTACCTGTCTGCCAGATCTGCAACAAGAAAGGTCACACGGCGACTTCTTGCTGGCATCGACTTAATGTGAACTATACACCGCAACCTACTTCCTCCGATCCAGTAAAAGGTCTCGCGGCCACCACCAACTCACATCCTCAAGAATGGTATCTCGACTCGGGAGCTTCCTCGCACATGACAAATGCATCAGATAACCTCTCCAACTCTTCCATATACTGCGGATCTGAATTCGTCACTATTGGTGATGGAAGAAACCTCTCGATAGCTCAATCGGGTAATGGAATTCTTCCAACACCAAATCGGGTAATGGAATTCTCGTTTCCTCTGTTTCTACAATTAGGACCAACAACACCTACTCCAGTGATGCACGAATGTACAATTTACAGTATTAGGACCGACAACCACATGAGAGTTTGACCGGTAAGAAATATTGTTTGAATGATTAATTGACATATCATTACTTATTGAATAACGTGTGATTGATTGAACTATATGATTGTATGATAGAATCGATTACTAATTTGATTTGAATCTTCAAACGGATTTTTGATTTGATTTTGACTCGATTTGAGATTTATTTTGGAATGAATTTGTTTTGTATGGTTTTATGCCCGAATCCTTAAGGGAAATATCATTGATGATCAAGGTTGTGAAAACCGGACCGGACAACGAACCGGAAGAATGAGAGGTTCATGGTTCGACCGGTTCGACCGGTCAAACCGGGGTCGAACCGGATGACGTAATAAATAATAATATAATTAAAAATAATAAAATTAACATAATAATAATGACAATTTATTCATAAACATTTTATAATTTTAAAAAATTTTAGACTAAAAAATAAATAAAATTCATACATATATAATATATTACATAATTTTAAAATTAAATATAAATAATTATTATATTTATGTTATATATTTAAATATAAATAATTACTAATTTTAAATTT